ATGTGGAAATAAGCTCCACAGAAAAGTGTCTTGTCTTTCAGAAAGAGTCAAACACATCAGAAGAATCATTAATTTTAAACACATGTTTTCTATTTGTCCCATTAGTCTTATCCAGGAATCAAAAGGTCAAACTGCCCTTACATAAAAGACAAAGTATGGGGCTGGGACTGGAGAGATGGCTCAGTGGTTAAGAGCACTGAATGTTCTTCCAGAGGACCCAGGTTTCAATTCCCAGCACCCACATGGCAGCTCACAACTGTCCGTAACTCCAAGATCTGACGCCCTCACATAGGCATATATGCATGCAAAACACCAATGCACATGAAAAAAATAAATATACTCTTTTAAAAAATATACTTGATTCACTGTCGATAGATGCCAGAATGAAAGCAAAATTTCTACCAAAATATCATTTCTGTAAATGAATACATAATTTTTGCTTATTTAAAAGTTAAACTTTAGAACAAAATTTAAAAGCAAAAGTAATTTTATCTTTCTATTTTTCTGAAATAATATGTCCTAGTAGGGTAAAACTGAAAATAAGGCAAAAGGCCTCATGTCAAACTTCAGGCTGACTGAAGGAGACACAAACCTTCTGCTGAAACAGTAAGAACACATTTATCCAAAGTCGTACCCAAAAGAGTTCTCCAATTTCTTTATTTGATGCTTGTAATCTCTTTTCCTGGTTGTCATCAAAATTACAAAGCCAAAAATTCATTCTGATGAAGAAAAATATGTATCAATAAAGTTTTGAAAATATATCTCAGGTAAGATGTAATTGTTTTTTTATTCAGCAAATACTTATCATTTAGTATATGCCTAGTATTGCACTAGGAAAAAAATAAAATGTAATGAAGTCTCATAAAGTTTACTGCCAAGGACACAAAGAAGCTAAAAAATCAAAGTCTGAGTGCACCGATGAACAGGCTACCAAGCAGGATGAAAAGGTGGGAGTCAAAGACACATGAACTCAGTGTTCAGAACCAGCAGAGATAACTAAAAATGAAAGAGGAGATTGTTTACAGATTTTAAAAAAGGAAGAAAATATATGAAAGGGCATTCAGTAAGATATCAACAGTTCCTCAGCAACAACCAAACATGGAGGAGCCACAGCCAAAATGCCACACTACAACTTTACCTTGACGGTTACATGTATCTGCAGAAAGATATAAACCAGTGAGTAACAAGGAAGTCTGACTCTTAAATTAATAGAAGGAATGACTTGATAAGAAAAAGTATGTATGCCCAGAAAGCTCAAACAAGTTACTATCATAATAATAAAGACCCAACATTATTAAGGCTTAGACTGGAGCGCTGGAAATAAACATGACACATTATATCAATATAGATTTATTTTGAAATCAAAATCACTAGACATAGTAAATGATGGGATGTAAGGGATGAAAAAAGTGGGGGTGGGGAGTTAAGGGCCATTCCCAAACTCTAATTTGTAGAACTGGGTATGGGTGTGCCATTCTCTCAGACAGCAAAGTGACACAAATATAAGAATGAGTTAAGAATAGATTACGTTTGTAGTTTGGAATAAGTCTGAGTTTAGTTGACTTAGACCTTAGCAAAAGAGAACTGGAATAGTGAAGCATGATTAATTAAAAACTCAGGGTCAGAAATTGGGGTTCAACCTGAAGATCCGAAAAGCAAAACAGCCAGCCACTGGCTCTTACCTCGACCTCAGTCCAAAAATGGCGATCCTGCCTCCAGGAATCTCAGAATGAGACTGTGTCTGAGAGCTGTCTTCCCCCTTCTTATATTCCTCTCTAGGGCTGGGACTAAAGGCGTGTGCCATTATGGCTACTGAGATTAAAGGTGCGTGTTACTATAATCTGGTCTGTAAGGCTGACCAGTGGGACTGTTTTACTCTCAGATCTTCAGGCAGTCTTTATTTATGAAAATACAGTTGAAATGCCACTATAGATAGCTGGATGCCAGGAACTGAACTGGAGAGGGAAGGAAAAGAGGGAGAGAGCTAGAGTCTTAAAAGAACTCGTTACACTGAGGCTTCAGGAACACATCATTTAGTTGGTAACAATTCTTAGGAAAAACTATACTTCAGAAAGAAAGGAACACAACACAGTTGTGGGAAAGTATGGGGGTAGAGGGGACTAATGATTTTGTTGTCATTTAGAGGAAAATTGAAGCTTTCTTCCAAAACAGTCAGAAATACCATTAAAGTCATTCTTCAAATTACGTATCAGCACTGTTAAGAGATTACTTTTCCAATATTTCAAAAGATTAATATTAGAAATCAAAACACTAAGACTAAACCAATTTAAATTTATATAGAACTATTTTGTATCCTATTTTTAAAAGTTAAATTTCTATCAAATATGATTTATTAGGACAGTCTCAGTAAAGATTTCATGATTTTATCCTTTAAAAGAATTTCATTTTAAATTTACTATGCTATTATTTTATGCATATGAATGTTTTGCCTGCCTGTATGGCTGTGCAACCTGTCCACGCACAGTGTTCACTTAAGCCAGAAGAGGGCAACAGGTACCCTGGAACTGGAGTGACAATTATAAGCCACTACATGGCTGAGGATCCAAAGCAGGGCCTCTGAAAGAGTAGCCAGTGCTCTTAATTACTGAGCCATCTTTCCAGCACCAAATGTTCTTTTTTTAATGTGTGTGTGTGTGTGTGTACAAGAGAGAGGAGAGAGTTATGCTTAGAGGTTTTAAGAAAGTATCATTTTTATTTTTAAAACTAACTGTTTAAATGTGCCTCGCCCTTTCAGAAGGGGGGGGTTATGTGGAGGGAATAGGGGGAGCGGAGGGAGTAGAAACTTCGATTGGTATGTATAATGAAAAAGATTATTTTCTTTTTTAAAAAAAAATTAAATAAAAAAAACTAACTGCTTAAAGTTAGTAGTTTTATCTTTATTGTAGCTTAAAGTATTTGCTATCATCCAGATTGACAGACCATAGTGGCAGACAGATCTTTGTGAGTTCAAGACCACCCTGATCTCTATAGTTCCAGGCCAGCCACAGTTACAAAGTGAGGACATAATGAGAACCTGTCTCCAAATAGAAAGAGAGAGAATTCCAGATTCTAGACGATAATATCAAAGCATTACCATGGCAAGGGGTAAACTATTCTGATTCTAAAAAATGTGCCAACCCTAAAAGGTATTAATTTAAGAGCTAAAACTGTAAATGGAAATATAAAGTATTATATTGTAGATTATAAACTCCCACTAATTCCTACTTTTTAGCACCAAACCCTATACACAATTTAAAAAAAAAAAATAGGAGACTGGAGATACAGCTCAGTGGTTAAGAGACCTTGCTGCTCTTGTAGATAGCTAGAGTTAGTTCCCAGGGCCCTCATGGAGGATCACACTATCTGTAACTCCACCTCCAGGAGAGCCAACATTTTCTTCAGATGGCTGTGGGTATATGTACATACAGACAAATAAAAATGTTTTTTTCAAAATACAGTTTTGTCTTGTTACTTTTAAAAATTAAGCTGAATATTTATTATTTAAAATATGGAAGTTATATTTTAATATCATTTCTTACACCAAATCAATGTGTGTAAAATATGAGGCTGCTCACAAAACCAAAAGTAGTGAGGATCCAGATTAAATTATATTTAAAATATATGCTAAAATTTAGAACACAAAAAAATAAAAAGGGCTCACAGTGGTGAAAGAGCTCTAGAAAGGAGCAGGAGAAGGAGCTCCTTCTAGAGAAGGAGCAGAGCACAGGGCCATGCTCCGGGGGGTGGGGGGGAGATGGGGAAAATGGAGGAACTGGAACCAACACGGCGGAAGGACAGCAATACAGAAAAGGTAAGGGAGGTAGACAATACTATGGATGTTTGGAAAAGCCACAGGGAAACATATTGTTTGATGGTTAATCAAAATTATGTGTATGTAAGTATATAGAGAGATAATATCCAGATAGAAAAGTAGGTAGGTAGATAGATAGATAGATACATAGATAGATAGATAGATAGATAGATAGATAGATAGATAGATAGATAGATAGATAGATGATAGTAACTAAAGAAAGTTATACCACTTGAGGTGATAATGTTCCCCCCAAGAGCCATAGACTAACTAACAAAAGATCCAGTACTGGCATGGAAAACTTTCTTCAAACTGTTGACCAAGAGAGTCCAAGAGACTTCAAAACAATATAGGCTATTGCCATTGCCCTGGCTGCCTTCCAGAACTTGAAGGTAAGACCCTATTGCTGAAGACACCATGCACCAGGATCTGACCTGGAAGCCTTCTCCCTGAAGACTAGTCTCACAGCAACTGAAGCGCTGTGCTGTCTGTCAAGGGAGAGAAGCAATAGTCTTACCCAGCCGTAAAGCCTGTGAACCACAACAGTGGCCAGCACTGCAAGGTTTCCCCAAGGATCCAACAGTGGCATTTTATCTTGGAGTAAACAACAGCACCCAAATTGGACTCTTATTTAATAAGATGGAATTCATGTCTGCTACCTCAAACCTAGGCAACTAGGCTAGTTAAGTCATAGAACCTAGAGAACAGAATCTACTACTGACTCTTCCCACAGATTAGTAGAATTTCTAACTGCCTCCTTAATCCTTATCTTTACAGCCTTATAGATGAGTGTAGTTCTTATTCCTCATCGGAGAAGCTTCTTTTTGCAGCAGACACAGGTCATTATGGAAAGCTAAAACTGATCAAAATGCAGAGAACAACTGAGCACCAAGTACCCAGCCACACCTGGTACATGTACAACACAACCCCTACACCTAAGGCTCAAGGAACATCACATTGAAGAAACAGAAAGGCTCTAGGAGACAGAGGATCAGAACTTCTGCTGCAAGATAGCATTTTCTATATATAACAGCGAAGCTGCACTAGTGCAATCTCAACAATATGGCTGCCTAAACTGAACCTGAACAGGGTTCCCACCCCTAGATGAAGAGGAGCTACAGGCAATTAATGACTGCCAACAGAGGGAGAATTTATCTTCCTCAGGATCCACAAAGTGGTCACCCCTAAAAGATATCCATACGAGCACACAAAAAGAACTTGGCTGGTTCTTCTGGTTTGCACTAGGATGCCAAAGAAAATGCTCTCCGCGCTTCCTGTCTGTCAGTGTGGCAATCCAGGTTGATTTGGAGAGTGCATGTGAAAAGAAAAAGAAAAGAAAGAAAGAAGAAAAAAAAAGAACTTGGCAAGTCATATTTATATATGTATCCATAAATAAATATGTATGTATGTATGTGTATATGTATGTATGTATACAATAATAATCATAGAAAAAGAAGACATAAACTTGAGAGAGAGTAGGTAGAACCTGAATGTGTTTGAAGGGTATAAAAAGAGTGGAGAAAAGATGCAAACACAGTATACATGTGAACTTTTAATAAAAGGTTTTTAAAGTAACAGGTAAAACCTGCCTCAAAGTGATGTGCCAGACTTTGTTGACTCCCCTCTCTGAGGAGTGGATGGGGAGTAGGGTGGGGGAAAGGTGGGGGAAGTGGGAGAAGTAGAGGGAGTAGGAACTGAAACTGGAATGTAAAATGAGAAAAGATTGTTTTCAAAAAAATTTTAAATTAAACTTTTAAAAAATTTACATAAAGTAAAGGGTAAAAAATAAAGATATATATGCAAACAAACATGAATATGCACATATATTCAAATATGTATACATGTTATCTTTTATATAATAAATTCCTATAATACATACATTAATCATAAAGCAGATAAGTTAAATGGAATAAGAAACCTTTTTGAATACCTTGTCAATCCCTTTAGTAAAGTACAGAACCATCATTTAGCTAAAAAACGGGGTGGAAAACTAAGGCTTGTTCTAGAGTAGAGCGTACTCGTAAGCATCAATCTTCAACATCATTTCCAACAACCTTGTTTTCAAGAATATTGAATTTATACTATTTCATATGGAGTAAATTGAACAAAATCAATACCAAGTAACATACCTTTCAGATAAATTAAGGCTTTGGTGAAGAGGGTCTAATTTCTGACATGTCTCTACGCTGTCAACAGATGTCGAAGGCAATGACTCTGATTGCACCTTGCTGGTATCACATAAATTAGCATCATTTCTAGGTAGGGTCTTTCTGAATTTTCGTCCTAAGTCCGTCCACAGAACATTCGTCAACATAACTCTGAGATGCCTGTTATATACATAAATAATTAATATATATGGTTCTAAATGTTGTATAATACATGAATTTATTACAAACTATAACAAGTATCTCCTAGAATTCTGAATTTCAGTATTTTATGAAATGTAAATACTTATAAACATTATAAGTAAAAAACAAATGTCTAGCCATTCTCACTGACACATTATGAAGTAAAGCCTACTTCACTTACATTGGGATTTTCTTCAGAATTGGATCAGACACCTATAATCATCTTCACAGATCTGTGCAGCTTTGGATTCCTAGCCACTCACCTATGCTTTTCCAGTTAGTGGAAGGTGGATGTGCATCTGCAGATCTCATCACACAGGCAACCACTTTCTGAATTACGTGTGTTTTTGCTGTAGCATGCAGCAATTTAGAAAATACATTAAAACTAAGAGGAAATGATACTCTTACTTCATCTCTAACATAGATAAATAAAACATCTGTATTTAATGATAACTGTGAGGATCTCTGGAAACACTAGGACTGGCAAAGAATGATCTTCTTAAGGCAAGAAGGAAATCAGGCTCAATGCAACTTAGCCAGTGTTGGTTCAAAATTCTAGATTCTGACTTCATGCAGTTTATTTTAGCCATATTTAAGCAGAGAACAATTTAGAGGAAAAAAGTCTCCTGCTGATAATTAACCAAATCCTATTAAGACAAGCTTACAGTGACACTCTTTGCAAAGCACATACAGGCTCTTCGGCAAAGATGGGTTCTGTTGACTCAGAAACGATGCTCAAGATAAGGGTCTATGAAGCCCGGCAGTGGTGGTACACACCTTTCATCCCAGCAATTGTGAGGCAGAGGCAGTGAATCTCTGTGAGTTCGAGACCACCCTCGTCTGCAAAGTGAGTTACAGTACAGCTAAAGATAAACAGAGAAACCCTGTCTAGAAAAACAAAAATAAACAACAAAAAAAAATCTGGCTAAGGGTCTATGTAGAATGACTGTGGCAAGCACGATAGCCTAGGGGATTTAGGTGAAGCATGGCCCTACAGAGAGCAAAAAAATCACTAAGTTATAAAGTACACCCATTCCCAGCATTCTAGGTGGAAAGCAGGTAAACACGCCTTTCCTTTGAAGAGACAAGTCTGCGTGTTTAACCTTCCTGGTTTCCCTGGTGCTTACCTGTGAGTACAGGGACCTAATGTTTTCAACAAATAACATCAATAGACAGCCTGATAAATGTGAGCAATTTCCAATTTTTGCTTCATCACATTTGTTCATTTATTCATTTTATATGTTGCTGACAATATCTAAAAACTATGTTCAGTCCTCATATCACAGAATAGTTTTTGCAGGAACATAAACAGACTACACAGGCTTCAAACAATGTCAGATGAGGAATAGCTGAAATGTTAATCACAAGTCTAAAGTTAAATCAGAAGTCTATTTGATGCCATAGGAAGCACTTTTAGACATCTTTTCATTATTTAACAAATACAGTAATATTAAAAAACAGAAAACAAAATGCTCACATATTTTCATAATAATACAGGAAATTTCCAAATGAATTTTTAAAATGTTCTTAGCAGCTATTTGGGGACAGACAGAGCACCAGACAACCTAAAAGGAAGAAGGTCCAAATCCTAGGAGAACTTTCATGGAAACATGGTAACTAAGAAAAACAAATTAAGGTATAGAGAAAACAGAAATGAGTTGATACCTCTTTAAATCAGTAATAGTATGTTCAACCAATATTTACGGAACATTTAACAAACTAATTATGCTAGTAGGATTTAAAGACACATCAGCAAACAAAATGGTTCTTGTTCAAACCATCATTTAAACTAACTGAGAAGAAATAGGAAGTGATACTGTCATTTCCTCTGAACCAAGTCAAGAAGGGTTTTGTTATGACGATGCCTGTTACAAGTCTGGACATTAATATCCCACACAAGCTCATGTGTCCAAACACCTACATATGTTCTTCAAGGCTGTAGAACCTGTCAGTCCCCGTGGGTCACTAGGAATTGGTTTTAAAGGTTACAGTCTGGTCCTGCTTTTCATCCCTGCTCTTTGCTTCTTGGTTCAGCAGCTTTGTGAACAAACCTGGCAGCTACCATGTAGCTGTTCCCTCATTCCTGTCCCACCAAGATGGACTAAACTCTGAAAGCTGGAGCTGAAAATAAACCTTTCCTGCCTTAAATTGTTAATAACCTTTAAGTTAAAGTGTTAAAGAATGCAAGGCACTCTACCAAAAAAAAAAAAAAATGGACAGAAGCTAAAAAACAGAAAAAAAATAAGAAAACATAAATGTTCTAGTATGAGTATTGCCTGCTCAAGGAAATAAAAAAAACAAAATTTATTAATTTGTTTTAGCTCCCAGCTGCAGTTTCTTCTCCCTCTCCTCCCAGTTCCTCTCCCCCCCATTCTGCCTTCGGTTCCCACGCCCCAATCCACTCCCCTCCATTACTGTTTAAGAAAGGGCAGATCTCCCGTAAGTATCAACATATCAAGTTGCAATAAAACTAAACACCTCCCTATGTATTAAGGCTGGGCAAGGTGACCCACAATGACAAACAGGATCCCAAAAGCCAGTAAAACAGTCGGAGCCAACCCCTGTTCCCGCTGTTAGGGGTCCCACAAGAGGGCCAAGCTACACAACTGTAACATATATACAGAGTGTCTAGGTGAGACCCATGGAGACTCCCTGGTTGTCAGTTCAGTGTCTGTGAGCCCCTATGAGCCCAGGTTAGCTGATTCTCTGAGTTTTCTTGTTGTGTCTTTGACCCCTCTGGCTCCTACAATCCTTTCTCCTCACTCTTCTGCAGGATTCCCCAAACCCTAACTAATGTTTGGCTGTGGGTCTCATCTGTTTCCATCAGTTGCTGGATAATGCCTCTCTGGTGACAGAAATTACATTATTTATCCAAATGTCTAGAGTGAAAGGAACCATGTATGACCAGAGTAAGACTGTGTAATTAGTATATGGTGGACTGTATGAAGGAGGTAAGGGGTTTTTTATCTGTATTTTATGTGCATTGGTATTTTGCCCACATGTATGTCAGTGTGAGGGTATTGGATCCCCTGAAACAGGAGTTGCAGGCAGTTGTTGAGTTTCCATGTGGGTGCTGGGAACTGAACCTGGGAACTATGGAAGAGCAGCCAGTGCCACCTATCCATCTCTCCAGCCCCAGGAGATTTTATGTCAATAAGAACTCTGTAAGGAACTGAGCTAAAGACCTCATGTTACATTTTGGCAAGAATCTGCTGCATTTTGTCTATGTCCTGAAACCTTGAATAGGAATGAATTTAAAGTGATGTATTAATTCTGCTTGGCAGCAGAAATTTCAACATAAGTCAGCATGAGAACTGTGGTGTGATTACTACCGACTATTCATAGTTAAGTCTATTAATGAGAGCAACAGATAGAGCAGAAAGATATGGAAAATGTGTTGCTGGTGGGAAAAGGAATGCATATCAGGTTACAGACAAGGCTGCTGAGAAAGCAGCTGTACAGGTGTTAAAGCTGAGCAGCACCACGATAGATAGATAGATAGATAGATAGATAGATAGATAGATAGATAGATCGATCGATCGATCGATCGATCGATCTAGCACTCTGTATAGGAAAGGAACCAGGAGGGCAAGAGTCCACCTATGGAAAACTCCAGGGAAATGCAAACTCATTCTAAAGAAGGGAGCCTAAACTAAAAATGCCACTCTTGCTCAAAAACAGCTGCCATGGGAAGTATACATCAACCCCAGCCCTGTGTCCACACACAAAGGCTAACTCAACTATGGTCCACGGCTTTCAAGTCCCATCTCAAACTGGCAGCACTGTCCACTTATACGGCTATTGCAGGCATGCAAGATGTAAGATGGCCGGATCCCTGTAAGGAGACCCTGAGAAGCCACTGAACGCAGTTTGAAGGTGAAGCCTAAGTTGTAATGGAGACCCCAGGATATTGGAGATGCCAAAAACATTCAACATCTACTAAGGAAAGCTAAAGGCACAGAAGCCAATCA